CTTTGAGCAGCAGCAAAATATCTCATTGTTAGCTCACCGTGTGGCCCAAATTTTTACAGAGATTTGCACCAGGCAGGCAAGAGCAACGTAGAAAAACTGCTTACATTTCAGCAAGTCTTTACCCAAAGTTGTTTTAAGGCATAAATAACACCTTGGCATAATTGGCAATTAAGCTCTAAAGTCTGTAGCTATTCACGCAGCGTTTTCCAAGAATCAGCTGAAACTTCCTCTCTGATGATGTTCAATGTGTCTCATTTCTGGTATGAAACACTTAGAAATTACATCCAATAGTGCTTTGAATATGTGAAGGGAGCCTGTAATAAAGACAGGGACAAAGTGATGTGACAGGACAAGGGGGGATAGTTTAAACTGAAGGAGGGTGGATTTGGGTTAGATGTAAGAAAGCAGTTTTTAAAGGTGCTGAAACACTGGAACTGAGAGGGGTGGATGAATCCCTGGGAATATTCAAGGCCTGGTTGGATGGAGCTCTGAGCAACCTGCTCAGGATAAAAGGTCCATTCCAACCCCAGCTACTCTGATTCTGTGGTACTTTTTATTCTGCTTCAAGAGTGAGGAAGGATTTTGGGGGGGAGTGAGGTCTTCTCTGGTTTTGCTCAGTTATTTTTGCTGGTTGAAACTTTCACACCTTTAGAGCACCTCCTGCTGCACAACAGAGCATCTACCTGTTCTCTAAAATTCCCCAACTGTGTATGTTAAAATCCTTCCTGCAGCAATGCTGATTTTATTGGTTCAGGGCAAAGCTGAAAGAACTGCAAATACAGCATTTATTGGTATTTTTAGCACTTGTAAAGAGAAAGAAGAGCTTCTTTAACCAGAATATTGTTGGAAAGAATAGCACAGGAGTCTTAATCAGTTGGAAAGCTCTGTCTCTACTCAAGAGGTTTTGATTACATTGACGTCACCTCTCCTCAGCTCAGCTGAGACTGATGGCTGTGTTGCAGGCCAGGTATCTGCATTTTTGTGGGTTTATTTTTATCTTTGCACCTGCAGCTCAGCTACTTTGTCTGTCAAGTGGCACAATCTTAGAAAAGGACCTTTTTCCATAAAGTGACAGTTGATGCAAAAAGCACAGAATATAAAAATGTGCAGGTCCACAGTGCTGGAAAGGGATTTAACTCCATGTCAGTGCCTTTGCAGCACTTGTGTACAGGTGTCAACTGACTCTTACCTCTTCCCTATAGAGTTGGGCAAACTTAATATAAATTCAGATATGGATGTAGTTCATATTATAAAACACCTTATTCTGATATCAGCTCAAACTCCAGAGGAGTAAGAATCCCAGAATCTCTTTCTAAATAGCTTCTAGACCTTAAGTTTTGGACAAGCTCTCTTGGCAGTTATGGGGAGATAAACAGTGATTTTTGAGAAGTTTGAGATCTGCTTTTAATTCACACAAGTGAATTGATAATCTTTCATTAACAAGTGAAAATAAACTTTTTGTCTCTGAGGAAAGTGAATCATGTAATAGGTAAAGTTCTAAATATATGCAGTTCAGGTTTCAAGGAAAACAGATTAATAATAAATATTTGATTATATTTTGTCTTTTAGTAGCATTTTAAGCTACAGGTACAAATATTGACTTTACAAATATGTATTTGTGTTTTATTTGATGGATTTGATTAAATTCAGTACATCAAGACTCACTTATTTCAACTATTTTGAGTTATTCTCTCTTTTTAACCAGTGACCTGTGATAATAAAACTAAAAGTTCCTTGCATTTATAGACATATATATCTATAAATTCAGAAAATTATTTCCAAAAAGTGAGGGAAATCTATATTGAAGTTTACTCATTTTAATGAAATAAAATTGCAGCATAAGTATCAGTTTCACAGGGTCTTTCCCTACTTGAAGTAAAAGTTTTGCAAGATGAATAATACTGGAAGTTAACATTAGGTGTCAGTATTTTACATATTATTTAGCAAAAGAATATCAAGGGAAAGAGCTTCTATAAAAAAAAATAAAATAAATTACAGTCTGCTTTTTCAAATGCTTTAAGTTATCATAGTTAGAGTGGTATCAGGAATAATTATGTGTGAAATAATTAATTGTATATACCCCGAATGCTTCTTGCTAGTTACATCTCTGATTTAAAATTCAATACTAAGTACCACTGCTTTCTAATTGTGATAACATTTCATTCTTGGATTGTCTGAAGAAATTACATTTTTCAAATTGAACTGCAGGACATGAGGATCTGTAGATGACAGAAAAGTGATAGCCAGGTAGAGTGAGAAAATGCCTACAAAATGAAGGCCAATGTGAGTATGCAGATCCCTGGTTATGTGTGATCTTTTTCAGAACAACAAAATTCTAAAATGTGCAGAACCCTTAAGCTCACTGCAGCTGTTGAAAATACAAGGAAAAAATACTATATTATCCATCCATTTTATTAAAAATGTTCAACATTTTTAACCCTGTTTTGCCACGGGAACACCAAAAACAAGGCAAAGTCTTTTTTCACAACAAGCAGAGGATGCTTTTGTCTTCCAAAAGAATAACAAAACAAAAGAACTCTGAGTGAAGAAAAAGGAATGACATAGTAATTTTTTCATCTGAGCTTGTGGCATTATTGAGAATGGGAAGGATGTGGCTCATCTGAGGAGTTTAAACCCCAAAACGTCCTTGTCTGACAACGAAAGAACCCACCTTGATTTCGTTTTACCAGCAAATTATTTTATATTGGTAGATTAAGCGAGAAAGATGCAAGAAAGGATGGAAGATACTAAAACAAAATAATTAACTTTTTAACCAATGTTAGATGTTCCCAAGAAGAACTGGGTAGAAATGGGAATTCCCTGTGAAATTCCAGCCCCTGGGGGAGAGATGGGCTTTGGTTGGGCTCACAAAGGTGAAAATAAACATTTTGGGCTAAATCCACAGAGGGGCCTGACACGATGTGTTGATATCAAAGCAGCCACATCAATATTTTATTTAATACCCTTCTCACAGATTTGCTGAGGTTATAAAAGACCTCCAGGATTGAGTCCAACCACTCACCCAGCACTGCCATGTTCGCTGTTATGATGAAGACATGGCTGAGGTAAATGTATTATCTATACTCACCTATAAAACACACTTCAGAGGGAGCTGCCCTACCCAGAGAGCCCCAAAAACCTCTGCAGGTTCCCAGCTGAACCTCTGGGCACTCAAGATGGTGCAAATCTATTTCTGAAAAGCTCCTCACTCTCTGAGACCAGCTGAGAGACAGTTTTGCATAGTAAGCTTAAAGTTTTGTCAATATTTGTGGAATATATTTAGACAGCTTATTCAGAAATGAGTAAGTTATAGATCAGTAATTCATACTTTTTATATCCCAAGTTTTTATTACCTAAACTTACTCTTCTAAGCATCGTTTTATGTTTCTAGTTAAATATAAGTGAGAATTGATTGGGGTATTTCTCAATGGAATTCTATCTTTATTTCATCATAATTGCTTCATATTTGAATAATGACAGATGAACTACTTCATTCAATTGCAGTTTTAAGGCTTTGAAGTCACAATAGCAGCAAAGGATTTAAATCCTGAAACCATTATTATGGCAGAGAAGACATCAGGGAAAAGGAAAACTTATGGTAGTGTAATTTTCTAGATGGAAAAATTCTTCTGCGGTTGCACTTTTTTTCTTTTTATTATTTTTTTTTCTCTGGACATTTTATTAATGTTAAAAGAACCCTGGAAGAAGAGATTGGAAATGCTGAATGAGAGTTCTGCTGTAAGTAAACTTCTGTAGTTATTTGGCTTTGGAGCTGGGTACAAACCTTTTAAAATTCTGGGCAGCTGCAATACTGTATTTCACCAATAAAGAGTTCATTAGATCTTTTTTCTCTCTGACATTTTACATCTAGTCCTGAGTACATGTTAATACTCCAAGGTATGAATTTCAAAGTTCCCTTTATCTTTGTGTACAGTTTTAAGCAATTAATCAAATGATAAAATATAGCTTTAAAATTAGAAACGAATTGTGAATTTAAAGTATAAGTTCAAAAAGTTCCTACATTATAATTTGGGGGGATGGGGCCTCATCAACTGAACTTAATTCTGGTGGTTTTCTTCTTTTTTTTTTTTTTTTTTTACCTTACATTTTATTGAAGAATTTTGAAGCAATCCTGAAATTGTTAAAACATGACCAAGTGGTCTACCCAGGGTAGTTCCTTCTCCTCGGAGGCTACATCAAAGTGGCAGAGACATAGAAAAATCATTATTCAATATGTTCAAAATGATTCCCACGTGGGGGAAGATTTACACAGGCTTCTGAAGTGAGCGTGGGGGCAAAGAGCACCCAGACCCCTTCGTCTGAAATAAAAGTGAGTGGCAGTTGTATCATCCCTGTACAAGAATATGAAGATAAGCCTGAAGTGTAGGGGGGTGGGGGTTGCAACATAATTTTGGCAGCAGGGGCCAAATCCAACCTCTTGAGTTCAACCTGCAACTTTTCTGCTCCAAGGTGCCTCAGTTTGGAAAGCCTGGGGTGGGGTGGCTGTTCCAAAGGTAATTGTGAGTGGACATCTGCAAAGTTCCCATTGATACCTGAGCACAAGGTGCTAAGAACTGGGAGTTTCTAAATGTCATTAATGAATCTCAACAGAAGCATGCTTGCCTTTTTTTTTTTTTTTTCCTGTATTTTCTGTTTTATTCACTGAGGTGTGTCAAGCACACACCACCCTGTTTCCTTTTAATGGGTGTGTTATTTTGATTTTAACCTGGGAGATGAAAGGCAGTATTCAGAAATATTCAATCTTCAGACAAGACATGGAAGCAGTTCTGTCATCTTAGCTGAAAGTTTGTGCCAAATGCTCAGATGTTGTTTTGTGTGATATCTAATTTAAACCACTGTGGCCAAGAGACAGCAGATGCTGCCAATTCTGCCCTTCTTATGTGGAAAACACCTCACACCTGGGTAACTTGGGTGGACCTTCCTTTTTAAGGATGCTTCTGGACTTTTCTGCACTGCTCTTACTTAAAGAGAAAAAATGTGAAGGTCTCATTTAGAGGAATGGTGAGTGAAAAAACATATTCACCTGCTTCTGAGTAATTGACCCTGAAATTGTGAGGTTTTTTTTCTTATTTTTAAACTGATGTGAAAATCCCACTTATTATAGAATCATTTATGTTGGAAAAGACTTTGAGGTCACTGACTCCAGCCTTGGGCCTGGGGCTGCCAAGTCCACCACTAAACTATTTCCCTGATTTTTGTTTGACTTCTAGTTCCAATATAGTACAGTGCCAGATTAATTTAATGAATTTATAAACCTCATTATAACAGTTAAGTTTCATTTGATTTTGAAAGAACTTGGATTAGGAAAGATAGATTTCTTCTACATTAATACAGCAGGGACAAGTATACTGAATTTTGAGAAGTCACTCAACTTTTCAAATTTAACTACTAAATGGAAGATTCTGCATCGCTCTGTATCAGATATGGAGGAAGGATAAAGCTATGTGTCACTTTTTGGAAATCCTAAGTTCTGTGGAAGATGATGTAGCATATGACTGCTTGATTTTCATTAGTATTCTTATCTTATTTAAATTTTCTCTTTTTAACTAGATATTAAAGCTGAAGTGATAAAATACCAGAAGTATGAATCACCAAAGTTCTATGTTGAAGTCTGTTCTCCTGACATTTTTCTGAATGAATATTGAAATGCTTCTCAACAAAAGATCTTGAAATTGCTCTATCACTAATCAGACCCAGACTTGACTTGAAAAAAATTCTTTTAATATTTTGTTATGAAAAGCATGCTCTTAATTATAATGATGATCATTAAAACAAATGTCTTGGAAGCCTACTATTTTCAATTCAGCCTCCTCAAAAGCATATGAAAAACCTGATGATATACATAATAAGTACATCCTGAAAAAATATTAGAAAAGCATACTAAATTAATGTATATGATATACATGTACATCTATGTATATGTATATGTGTTCTCCTCTCCAGAGAATCAAAGGGTTTGGGTCTGTCTTTATTTTTTTTTAATTTTTTTTTCACATTTATGGGATGTGTAAGAATTGGTTTAATTTGATGAAATCAAACATTCGATGAAAACAAAGGCGTTAGCTCTGAAATAAGACATCAGCTTTGCTGGGCTATAGATCCTTTGAACTTGGATGACATTGTCTCTGAGGACAAGATGTTTGATGAATTTTAGACTTTAAAGCCTTTGGTAGGAAAAATTAGTCCAGAATCTGTTCCTGCAGGATGGGGGGAAAAAAAAAAAAATCATTCTTCAAAAGATCAGGGAAAAAATGATGTCATTTTCTATTTCCCTTAAGTACCTTTTCTTCAGATGCTTATATTGGAAAAGGCTCAACAGCCATGAATTTAGGGGCTTACGCTCCAAGTGATCAGGGCATTTATGTCCTCTTTGCACAGAATATTGAAGAGAAACAAAACAAAAAAAACCTCTTAGAATTAAAGGATAAAGGGCTCTGTGGGTAAGATGGTCTTACAAAACATCACTGACTAATTTTAATCTATTAATTTAATATAATGAACATAATGATTTGTGTAAAATTACTTTACCCCCGTTATATGCCAAATCTGTCAGGAACAGCTGCTTTGCATTCAATATATCATAATGACATATACTGTGGAGTTATAATATTTAAATTTCTTTTCATTAAGGCCCTATTTTAGATTTGCAAGCTTATGCACAAGGGGAGAAGGGCTGGTGCCTCCATCGACTGTCGCTGTTAAAGGTTATCAAAAAGAACTCTTGGCTCTGTGAAGAAATGAGTAATGAGTGCAAGTGGGTTTCACAGACCCTGTTACAAGGCAAGAATAAACCAGGATTAAAAAGCCTCGTGGAGAGTGTTTTTCCCAACAGGCCTAATGTTTAATGGTTTTTTACTCAGAAGAATTAGGAGGGTCACGGTAACTGGAGCTTGAAATAAAGGTGAATTGATAACACAGGTGGGGAGGTGGACTGAAGGGTTTGTAATTAATTAAGCTTTTATAAAAACCCAGAGGCTGCAGCAGAGATTCCTTCTCTCCCTCTTTCCTACATCCTAAATACTCCTGAAATTATTACCTGGCCCTAAATACCACTTTCCTTTGGAACTGCTGATGATACACTTTGTCCTGTCGCAGGGCTTGCCTGGACTTATGGAAATAATGGATCTGGATGAACATTTCTCACAGCTCAGAAGGTCCAATTCTGGCTGAGAAGAAATTAGCATTGCAAACACCCCCCCACACACATCATGAAAGAGTGGAGATGTTGTAAAACATGGCTCCAGGCTCCTTCTGCTCTAGCCTGAAGGTGATTATTCCATGAGAACTTACGGAGGTAGCTGCAGCACTAGTGCTGTGTACCTGCTTTAGGAGAGTCTCCATTAATCTTGGCAGATTAATAAAATAAAAAAAGAACCCAAAAAAGCTATATTACAGGCATGGACCAGAGCAAAGAGGACAGCGTGGCCTTGAGAAACAAGGGAAAAGGAAGTCTCTGACTTCAGAGACCACAGACTATAGAATTAAAAGGAACTGAAAAACTGGAACAAGCTCAAGAGCTATAGAATGAGGGCTATCAGTTTTCTATTTTTGTCCTCTTGGAGCAAGCTGAAATTCGTTGTATTTCTATGGACATGTTGAAGTGCTCTGAGTAAGGACGTCATGATTTTTCCTAGGTGGCTGCTGTGACTAATTCTTCCAAGAAGTGCAAACAGCCAAACACATCAAATACTCAGCCTGGTGACTACAAGTTGCACTGAAGATGTCCTTCTTATTTTCTTTTTTCTTTTCTTTTTTTTTTCTTTTTCCTTCCTCAGATTTGGATGCCTCCATTCACCAATAACCTGACTTCCTGACATCTCCCAGATCCTCTGAGAATACAGCAATTACCTGCCAGAACAGGGGAGCTGAGGAAAAGGGCAAAGCAGTAGAGCCATGCACACAAACTAGAATTATCTGTGTATTACATGAGCAAATAAAATCACAGGGAGGGATTGGAACTGACATACGGAACTAATTAATTCAACTAACTGCTTCAAGTCTTTGATAAACTGATTTATTTGATGTTTCCCAGTCCATTCCAAGCAGCACAGTCTCCCCTGAAAGCTTCTGGACACAAGAGAGAACATTCATCTGTCTGCAGAGGAGTTTGCCATCCTGCAGCTGACTCTCCCTTGCATTTGTTGCCTTCTTTTTTCTGGCACCAGTGCCTGGACAGTTCTGACGTGCTCTGGGATGGCAGCATGGGAGGCAGCAGGGTGAGAGCAGAGCTGCCACTCGGATAAAGCCTCTGCTAACAAGAGACAAGAAAAGAGTTCAGCAATTCTGATTTCCACTAGATTTGATGGGGACACATTGCTTTTGTGAATAGCTTGCTTGGCTGGTCCCCTATGTTTGTTTGTTTATTTATTTATTTGTGAATGGGGGCTTTGGTAGTGTAGAAATTAGACTGTTTTTCCTCAAAGGCTGAAGCAGAAAATATCTCAGAATATCTTCTCTTTCTTCTCTGTTCATCCTCAGCATGGGATTTTACCGGATTTGGGACTTTTTCCACTAGAAACTATTCACCAAGCAGCTGAAACTCTTTTAACAGAGGTAGAAACAACACTGGAGAATATTTTTTTTTTTTGCTAAGGACTGTCATGTTCCTTCCAGACTCTTCCTTCACATGAAAACATTGACTCTTTTTGTAGCTCTGATCACGGGCTCATAGATCAAGATATTGTCTCCCAGAGTGCACAACTCTTTTCTTTTAAGGTTCCTTATTGTGTGATGTAAAGCCACCTTTTTGGCAGTTTGGTATTGTAGTACTTTTAGCACTCCAGAAAATACATTTACACTGCATTTCAAGCTTGCATGTAACTAAATCCTGTCAAGGAAAGTCTTTACATAATGCATCAACATATGCTGGGGTTTTGTCTCTTTTTTTAGTACAGTATGGCTATACAATGGATTGGAGTGGCTTTTCTAAGTTATTAAATATAGCCCTAGGCAAGGCTGGCTTTTAAAATAAATGGCAAGATCTCTAAAAACACCTGGGAAAGAGAGAGAAAAAGACTAGTTTGAGTTTTTTATAGAACTTTCTTACCCAGTAGTTTTTGTTAACTTTAGTGTCCTACTTTTTTTTTCTTTAACAATGAAATATAGCAGTAACTAAGCTTGAAAAACAACGAGGTTAAACCAAAAAATATTTTCTTAGCTATGAATATTGCTAAATCCAAACTTAATTTTAAGGCAAAATGAAGTTTATTGGGAAGTAAATGTTCAGAGAGTTCTATGCTAAACTTCTCTGCTGCTTTCCACAGTATATCTCTTATCAAAACTTCAGTGGCTCAGCTATTAAGTGATTTAATGCAAGATCATTTTTCTCCTAAAATGAGAATGTTCTGGGTTTTAGACCTCAAGTCACAGCACATATGTTCCTTCCACAGAGCCAACATTAAAGTGCTGGAGAATCTCTAAAGATCTATTTCCTACCACCTGTGACCATTTTGTTAAAACGCCTCTTTCACTTTGAAGACTGAGCTAAGTAAAATGGATTGTTTGGGGGGAAAAGTCAGCTCAGAGTAAAAGGTTTTGGAAGATGGCACCAGAATGTTTATAATGCACGTTGTGCTTGAGAGGGTTGTGTGAATTTAACCATTGCTGTATATTTACATTGACATTTACACTCAGGCTCCCGCATAATGAGCATTTATAGCCCAAGCAGGTGATATTAGAGGCCATGACCACAAGCACAGCCTTCTTGACATATCAGAATGTGCTTCCAGAAACATTTATGTTGGGATTAAATATTCAAGGCCCTTGTAGCAAAAAAAAAAAAAAAATAAGTGGCTGTTGAATGGACATCAGCATTTTGAGCAAACGATTGCTATGAGCAAGTGTATGAATTACTGGCCATGCAGAAAAAAATATTTTTTCTTCCTTTGAAATGTTCTAAAATTATGAAAAATAACATTCCTCTGGTGAAAGATGTGGGAAAAAAATCAATATGTTTTAACTGTCCAAGGCCAGGTTGAATGGGGCTTGGAGCAGTCTGGTTTAGTGGAAGGTGTCACTGCCCATGGCAAGAGGTTGGAACTGGATAATCTTTAAGGTCCCCACCAAACCAAGCCATTCCATGATTCCATGACCATGGTACTTTAGCCATTTTTACTGATGAAAAGTTATGGATGCACAGTTGTCCTTCCAGGCCTGTGCCTGTGTGAGTCAGGTTTGTATTGTCTGTTGTGGCTTGATTTAACCACCGAGTTAGTTTTGCTACTGGGTGTCTGCTCTACAAGGCAGACACCAGGCTGACAGCCAGCCATCACAACAGGGAGTAAAGGCTGAACTAGGCAAAAACAACTAAAAATCAACTTTTCTTTCCCCCTCAGGAGACTTCTGGTCCAGAATAAGTCTCAGAATTGCTGTTTATGCACCATGGTACCTCTTGAATTTATTATAACAGAGTTGGTAATATTTGCTGGGCATTCAGCGCCGTCAGTCAACAGTGATTTTTTTAAAACTGCTTTTTTAGCTTTAATTCTCTGAGGTATGAGATGAGGCAATCTGGATGTTCACCAGCTTGGTGACACATCTCATAGGCAATGACGCCATCAGCCACTAAAACAGGGACAAGAAATCAGCGCCTCAGAAATGACGCTCCATCTTTAACTTGCACAGCAAACACAAGGGCCAACCTATTGCACAGCAATCTGCTCCAGGTAGTGTCTATGCAGCTTCTGTTTCCTGCTTAGTTTTTACCCAGATTAAATGAGCCCTCAGAGTTTGTTAAACCGGCTTTTTTTTTTTTTTTTTGCTTTTTTTTTTTTTTTTTTTCACATCTAAAGTATTTTCAGCCTTTCAGAGATCACACAGGAAGCTTGTGCTGCATAAGTTTGAGCTGTATGCAAAGCTGCCATCCTTTTATAGAATTTTGTCACTGCTGACATACTGTCAAATGGATGTGAAGGAGCTCAGACGCAGTCTGCAGCTCGAGTGAAATGTTAGGTGTGCAGTGAAAGATGTTCTCATCAAAAATGTCATGTCCCCAGCAATCTAGGGTTTGGCCCAGGTAACGTAGGCGACTTCTGTTGAACCATTTTACAGGTTTGATGGTGGCTTTTCATATTTTTGTGGTTAGGGTCTCTTGTCCACATTGCTCACAAATACTTTGTGACTGTAAAAATGCTTCCAATGACTTTATTTGAGGAAAATCTTGAGATTCGCACTGCTACAATAGATTTTTCAATTAAAATTTATTTCATATGACAAAATTAGTTGGCTTTTAAAAGAGTTCAATATACTGTTTAAAATATACTTCTTTTAAAAGAGTTAGCATTTAATTAGTGCTGCTGCAGGCCCTGAAATATTAGAAAAGGTTAATTTACAGAAAATTACTGTATTGCTCTCTCTGCTCCTCAAACCTAGGAGAAACCCCTCATCACAACTCATAGACATCATTCACTTTTTTATTTCAAACATCCAGCTTTAAAATACATCCCTGAAATTCAGGGTTTACAAAGGAATGATAGTTTAGAGCAGCTGCTGTGCTGTTCAGCTCCCTCTCCTGCTTGTCCCCGTGTGCTGCCTCTCAGCACACATAGCAAGCACTTGGAAACAAGGAGAATTTTGGTTCTGATTTTGTGTGGCCTTTGGCATAATTAAATCTTTGCCCGTGAAATTGATTTTGTAGAAGCTGCTAAAAAATTATTATTAATATTAATAAAAAGGTCACTCTATACCCTAAGAGCTCTGCCATTCCTTCAGCAGGGCTGCGTCCCCCTGTTTTATTGCTGGACTTTTGAGAGTTTCCTGAGTCCCTGAAGGTGTTGCTTTCCCACTGTTTCAGTAAGTGAAGGATGGATGAAATCTCCTCTACAGGAACTTTAGTACATCTTTTTTCTTGCTGCAATCGGAAATGACCTGCCTGCAAATCAGTCTTTTCCTTGCAGCCTTGTGAAATAAGTCACAGTTTCCTTGTAGGCCTTCCCAAGCTCCAGTCCAGGCCTCACCAGCCCCACTCCTCGTTTCCTGTCTCCATTTGGATGGTTTTGCTCTCTCCATTATCTCAGTTTCCCTCTTTTACAGCCATGGGTTGTTCTGTGGGATCCAGGGTACCCAATGATTTTGTTGCTGGACCTCTCTACAGATGGGGCAGAGCTTCTTGAGGAGCTCCCGCTGCCAACAGAGCTCATTTTACCTCACTCTAGGGACAAATATCAGGTCATATGGCGGGTGTTTGGTGTTTTTGAGGTGGGAGAAAAAAATCCCTTTTTCTGCCAAAGCATTACCAGAGAGCTCTTCAGCCTGACCCACACTGTGACCGTCCCCACAGCACCACAGCCCTGCCCTGCACGGGAATCCCCACTGCTCCAGTTTGTAATTTGACCTAGAAATACCAGAAAAAATATTGTTGTAGAAAAGAAAAGAAAAGAAAAGAAAAGAAAAGAAAAGAAAAGAAAAGAAAAGAAAAGAAAAGAAAAGAAAAGAAAAAGAAAAGAAGAAAAAGAAAGCCACGTGGCAGATGCTGATGAAGACATTTACGAAGAAGAGGCTTTTCCAGAGCCCCAAAGGCCCAGAGCTGTGCCTGAATCTGGTGGTTCTTTGGGTTCCCCCTGCCTGGGAGGGACCATTGCAGTATGGGATGCTGCGGGAAGTGACGCAGGGCAGCAGCTGTGTGTGCCCTGCTTCTCCAAGGGCTGCTTCGTGGAGAAGTCTTTAAGGCAGAAAATCAAAGAAACAGAAGTGTTTGCCTGTCTAACCTCTACCAGGCAATAGTACAAGCTTGTCCTTAGAATCAAACTCTCTGATTGTCCAGAACTTGCTACCTGATTAATCTGAATAGCAGAACAGTAAGTGTCCTGCTTACTAAAGCTATATTTCAAAATAGCAAAGCAGATTTGTTGCAAGCCGTTTATTTCAGTGCTCAAAGGGTTTCATTGAAGGTAAGAAAAGGGAAGTCGTCTTAAGGCTTAGAATCATAATTCCTTTCAGCATTTCCTTTTAAACCTCATCTTTACCTTTTGCAAAAGCTAGCCCTCCTTGTTTGCTGCAATTTTCACAAAGAAGCTGCTTTCATGCTTTAAAATCTCATTTTTTTTTCCCTTCAGTCCAGAATTTTACACCAGCCTCTAGATGTAAGTCTCTGACTGGTGAGATGGCTCACTTCTGCTCTTGCAGGAAGTGGTTTTATTTTACTTTTTTCCCTGCTTTCTTTTGCTCTGTGTGAGCTGTGGGACTAACTCGAATGCTGTCTCTAGACATGTGACCTTGATCTTTTCCGTTCTTTTGAAATAGTTTAAACTGTTACTCGTTGATGGCGGCCTGAGATGAGATGACAACGTCCCTGAGGCTGCAGGTAAGGAGCCTCTGACCCATCTCAGTGCAGCTTGGGAAACCTGTTGCTAAAAGTTTTTAAAATAATCATGGCAATGAGCATTTTTTAGGCATTCAAATCAGGTTGCTTTAATTGCACAATTGCTTTATTTCTGTAGGCCTTGGTGAATT